CTATTTGTTCGTACTTCGCTGCATTACACAGCAGCCCTTATCCACTTGCATAGGTGGTATATGCTCTTTTCTTTATATCTCTCTCCTTCTCGGGCATTATCTATTCCGGATATTGCCTTTCTTGTTTCATCTTTAAACCGCCACCACTTCTGTTACTTGGCGATTTTAATGCCCATCATTTCCTCTGGGAAGGGTCTCGCTGTGATTCCCGTGGCATTCAGTTAGAGGCTTTTCTTGCTACCCACCCCCTCCATGTTTTAAATACAGGTACTCACACCCATTTGATCCTCGGACTCACACCTCTCTTGCATCGATCTCTCAGTCTGCTCTTCCTCCGCCGCATTAGACTTCACCTGGTCTGTTCTCTCGGATTTACATGACAGCGATCATTTCCCAATCATTCTTACTTTCCCTTCATATTCACCACCTCTTCATATCCCACGCTGGCAATTTGATCAGGCAAATTGGAACCTTTACTCACAACTAACTGTTTTTAGTGAAGTTCCTTCTTCATCCTCCATTGATGAGCTTTTACAACTCTTCTCGTCCTCCGTTTTAACCGCAGCTTCTCATTCTTTACCCCAAACTTTGGGCAGGCATTCTCAGAAATGCGTGCCTTGGTGGTCTCCTGCTTGTGCTCATGCAGTACGTTTGAAACGCACTGCATGGGGCAGGTACCGGTACAATAGAACCACGGAGAGACTTCGTGATTTTAAGCAGAAGCGTGCGATCGCTCGCCGTGTCATCCGTGTGCTAAACGCACTTGCTGGCAAGATTATGCCCTCCACCATCACCTCTGCTTCTCTATGAGTGCAGTCTGGAAAAAAGTACGAAAACTGAGTGGTAAATATTCTCCTGACCCGGCTCCTGTTCTGCGGGTTGCCGGTGTTGATATAGCAAACCCACTAGATTTTTGCCAATGAATTGGCAATCATCTGGTCCGTATTTCTCAGGGGCTCCGTCTATGCCCCTCATTTCTTTCCTCAAAGTCTGCCAGAGAGTTAGCACCTTTGGACTTTTCTCAGAGAAGAACAGTATAATGTGCCCTTTACACTTCAAGAACTGGAGGCAACACTCTCAGCTTGCCGATCATCGGCACTGGGCCCGACGACATTCATATTCGTATGCTACAACATATACATCAGTCAGCCCTTGCAGTCCTATTATGCCTTTTCAATCTTATTTGGTCACAAGGAGTTCTTCCACAGCTTTGGATATCTGCCATTGTTCTCCCTTTCCGCAAACCGGGTACTACAGGACATGAAGCCTCCCACTATCGTCCATTGCTCTTACCAGTGCAGTTTGCAAAGTGATGGAACACCTGGTAAATAGAGGTTTAGTGTGGTATTTAGAGACACACAACAGTCTCTCCACTTGTCAATATGGCGTTCATAAGGGACGTTCTACCATAGACCCCTTACTACACTTGGGTACGTATGTTCGTAATGCCTTTGCGAATATCCACTCATTTATTGCCATATTTTTTGACCTTGAGAAGGCATATGACACAACTTGGAGGGAAAAATATTTTAGCCCAAGCCCCACTCCTTAGGCCTCCGAGGCAATCTACCATCCTTCCTTAAGAACTTTTTAACCGATAGACATTTCCGTGTTCGGGTTAATAATGTACTCTCACCGGACTTTATCCAAGCTGATGGTGTCCCCCAGGGATGTGTTTGAGCACAACACTTTTTCTCCTTGCTATTAATGATTTGACGTCTAGTCTTCCATCAAATATTTGGTCATCACTCTATGTTGATGACTTCGCTATTGTGCAGGCGCTGACTGTCACCTCATTACAGTTTCTCTCCAGCATGCGGTCCAAACCCTGTTTCCAATTGGGCCACCCCACATGGGTTTAAATTTTCCAGCACTAAAAACCCCCCAAATTACTTTCACTAGACGCTCTGTCATCTCCGATCATCCTTTGTACCTCTATGGCTCCTGTATCCTTGAACATGATACAGTCAAGTTTCTGGGCCTCCTCTTTGACCGTAGGTTATCCTGGAAACCTCACATTACCTCTCTGAAGGCAACTTGTCACAGCCAGCTGAACCTTCTTAAAACCCTTGCTCATCTTTCATGGAGAGCTGATCGTCGAACCCTCCTTCGCCTACATTCCACCCTCATTTTATCGAAACTTGATTATGGTGACCAGATCTATTCAGCGGCATCTCCTGCTACTCTCTCTAGCCTTAACCCCATTCATCACCAAGGATTATATTTATGCCTTGGTGCTTTTCGCTCTTCCCCTGTTGAGAGCCTCTATGCAGAAGCGAACGTTCCATCCTTATCCGATCGCCGTGATGCCCATTGCCTTTGCTACTATGTACGCTCTCATGATCTCCGCAATCCTTCCATTTATAGAATGGTCACCAATATTAGTAGACATTCTTTATTTGTTCGCCGCCCCTGTTTACTCTGTCCCTTCTCTCTTCACCTACATTCGCTCTTGTCTTCTCTTCAATTACCACCTTTCTATGTTCATGTAGCATCTCACTTTTCCCTATTCCACTGGGAAGTTCCAGCTGTTCGAGTCTGTTCTTTCTCTCTCCCTTGCTCGAAAACCCAACTGTCTACGGTCGCTTCCTGCTCTCTTTTTCTTGACCACTTCCACTCTCATTCTCATGCCATTGCAGTGTACACAGATGGCTCTAAGTCTTCTGATGGCGTAGGATTCGCAGCAGTGTTTCCGGACAGTGTCATACGAGGGCATTTACTATCTTCGGCCAGTATTTTTACTGCTGAGTTGTATGCCATTCTTGCAGCACTTATCTGTATTGCATCTATGCCTGTGTCATCATTTGTGGTTGTCTCAGACTCCCTTAGTGCTTTACAGGCTATACAGAAATTTGATACACCTCACCCCTTAGTCCTCCGTATCCAGCTTTGGCTATGCCGCATCTTTACCAAGCATAAAGATATTGTTTTTTGTTGGGTCCCTGATCATGTTGACGTACAGGGCAATGAACAGGCAGACACTGCTGCGCGGTCAGCAGTATATGACCTACCAGTTTCATATAGAGGTATCCCATTTACGGACTATTTTGTTGCAATAGCTACCCACTGTCACACCCGTTGGCAACAACGTTGGTCTACTATGCTTGGTAACAAACTTCAATCTATTAAACCGAGTATAGGTTACTGGCCGTCTTGTCACCAGTGTCGAGGTTGGGAGACTACTCTCTCCCATCTTCGCATTGGCCATACTCGTCTTACTCATGGATATCTCATGGAGAGGCGCCCTGCTCCTCTCTGTGAGAATTGTCAGGTTCCATTATCAGTCAGCCACATTCTGTTAGACTGCCCACTTTATCACCGAGCACGCAGAATTTACCTCCGTCGTCGTCTTCGCTCCGCTGCTCTCTCTTTACCTTCCCTTCTCGCTGATGGACCCACCTTTCATCCGGACTCTCTCATTGACTTTTTGACAACAACTGACTTACTTCACAAACTCTGATACCTTCAGCCCTTTCTACCTCAATCTCTTGCTACCCTCTACCCCTGCACTATCCCCTGCCCCGCTGTTTTCTGTAACCTACTGATCATCCCTCCCCCCTCCTGCCGCCCAATACCCTCACTTCCTTCCCTACCCTGCAGCGCTGTATAGCCCTTGTGGCTTAGCGCTTCTTTTTGATTATAATAATAATAATAATAATGTATAAATAAAAAATATTTACACTTACTGTACCTTGGAGATGCTGGCATTGGTTTAGGGTGGTGGAAGATAGGCAGGGCAGCGTATGTTTGTCAGTAACCCTATATAGTACCTCCAATAACATTGGAGGAGTCAGTTTCGTGTTGTCCTTTTTCTATCGCTTAATCTCTTAACTTACTTGCTACACTTTATTCCTGGCTGGCGCTATAGCCTTTATCTACTCCTGCTGCTTTAGTATCGTACATATCGTAGAATCACTGAATCACTGAAGAAAGCACATTCTCCCCCGTCTATTCCTCCTTCACTTTGGTACTTTGCTGTGAGTTTTTTCTTGAAATCTATCATGTTTCTCACTTTATCAATGAACTGGCACTAGCAGCTTTGTTTGGGCCCATGGTGGCTTATTTAGCAGTCACAGAACGAGCAAGTGCAAAAAACAGTTAATTATTACGAAATGTTTCCTATTCATTCACCAAGAAACAAAGCGACACTGCCTCAGAATGAGTGTGTGGGAGGCTTTGTGTGTGCATGACACTCAGACAGATACTGTACCACCGACAAGAACGAAGGAAAGTAACAAAAACTGAGGCAATATTTTTACGAAAAAAGTTGGCAATAACTGAAATTCACAAAAACAGAGCCCAACGAAAATGGAGGGTCCACTGTATATACTCCAGCATGTGTAAAACATTGCTGAGACCTATAAATACTTTGTATATATTTTTAGACAGTAGTAGGTGACCAAGGCAGGTGAAAATGTTCACCTATCAGTGCATTTATGACTATTTGAGTACTGTTTTCAGCACCTAATATTAGTGTCAGAACAGACATTGGTTATGAAATCACAAGAACTACTACAAATTAAATTATCAGAACATAAAAATTATATAAATTAAAAAAAAAAAGAGGAAAAAAGGTATATTAGCAACACTTCTGGAAGCAGCAGGACTCCATGTTGTCATCAGGTGAGCATCCAGTGCCAACTTCATGGTCTTATATCTTGGTAAGTAGTGACCCTAAAAATTTTTTTTATCTTATTACACACAGAAAATTGCCCTCTTTAATTTAAAAAAAATCAAAATATTTGGAGCGCTGGGCGAGAGAACGTAAATCTATGTTTGGACAGTTAACAGGTTAAAGTGTAAAGCTACCCAATTTTGAATTAGAGCTAAAACTTACTATGCATACTCTGTAATTATAAGAATGCATGGTTCATTCCAGTTAATTACTAATACATACAGTATGCAGCTTACAATACTTATGTTTTGTGAATTGTTTTGTGTATTTTTTGTTTTTCTTTGATAAATGTCTTATGAGCTCAAAAAGTGAATCTCTCTCCTAGGAATGGGATGCTTTTCCAAATATATCGGTTCACTTGGCCCACAACAACAACTCAGCCTTTACCATAACAATCCCACCACAGTCATATTTGCGTCCTGCTCCAAATTCTGTCAGTGACACCACAGATTGCTGGATGTTGGGCATTGATGAGTCACCAGGAGGCACAGTATTAGGTAAGCTTCCATAAAAGTTAGTAGATAGGGAGATGGAGGTATTGGGTAGATGGTGGTAATATTTTGAGGAACTTTTAAATGTCGACCAAGAAAGGGAGGTGGTAATTTCATGCATTGGCAAAGGAGGTATACCATCTTTTAGGAGTGAAGGAGAGCAGGATGTGAGTGTGGGGGAGCTGCGTGAGGCATTACGTAGAATGAAAGGGGGTAAAGCAGCTGAAACTGACGGGATCATGACAGAAATGTTAAAAGCAGGGGGAGGGATATAGTGTTAGAGTGGTTGGTAGTTTTGTTTAATAAATGTATGAAAGAGAGGAAGGCACCTAGGGATTGGCAGAGAGCATATATAGTTCCTTTATATAACGGGAAGGGGGACAAAAGAGATTGTAAAAATTATAAAGGAATTAGTTTACTGAGTATACCAGGAAAACTGTACAGTAGGGTTATTATTGAAAGAATTAGAGCTTAGACAGAATGTAGGATTGCAGATGAGCAAGGAGGTTTTAGAGTGAGTAGGGGATGTGTAGATCAAGTGTTTACATTGAAGCACGTATGTGAATAGTATTTAGATAAAAGTAGGGAAGTTTTCATTGCAGTTATGGATTTAGAAAAGGCATATGATAGTGGATAGGGGAGCAATGTGGCAGATGTTGCAAGTATATGGAATAGGTGGTAAGCTACTAAATGCTGTAAAGAGTTTTTATGAGGATAGTGAGGCTCAGGTTAGGATGTGTAGAAGAGAGGGAGACTACTTCCCGGTAAAAGTAGGTCTTAGACAGGGATGTGTAATGTCACCATGGTTGTTTAATATATTTATAGATGGGGTTGTAAAAGAAGTAAATGCTAGGGTGTTGGGGAGGGATTAAATTATGGGGAATCAAATACAAAATGGGAATTGACACAGTTACTTTTTGCTGATGATACTATACTTATGGGAGATTCAAAAGAAAAATTGCAAAGGTTAGTGGATGAGTTTGGGAGAGTGTGTAAAGGTAGAAAGTTGAAAGTGAACATAGAAAAGAGTAAGGTGATGAGGGTATCAAATGATTTAGATAAAGAAAAATTGGATATCATATTGGAGAGGAGGAGTATGGAAGAAGTGAATGTTTTGAGATATTTGGGAGTTGACATGTCAGTGGATGGATTTATGAAGGATGAGGTTAATCATAGAATTGATGAAGGAAAAAGTGAGTGGTGCATTGAGGTATCTGTGAAGACAAAAAACGTTATCTCTGGAGGCAAAGAAGGGAATGTATGAAAGTATAGTGGTACTAACACTCTTATATGGATGTGAAGTTTGGGTTGTAAATGCTGCAGCGAGGAGACGGTTGGAGGCAGTGGAGATGTCCTGTCTAAGGGCAGTGTGTGGTGTAAATATTATGCAGAAAATTCAGAGTGTGGAAATTAGGAGAAGGTGTGGAGTTAATAAAAGTATTAGTCATAGGGCTGAAGAGGGGTTGTTGAGGTGGTTTGGTCATTTAGAGAGAATGGATCAAAGTAGAATGACATGGAGAGCGTATAAATCTGTAGGGGAAGGAAGGTGGGGTAGGAGTCGTCTTCGAAAAGGTTGGAGGGAGGGAGTAAAGGAGGTTTTGTGGGCGAGGGGGCCTTGACTTCCAGCAAGTGTGCATGAGCATGTTAGATAGGAGTGAATGAAGACGAATGGTATTTGGGACCTGACGAGCTGTGGGAATGTGAGCAGGGTAGTATTTAGTGAAGGGATTCAGGGAAACTGGTTATTTTTATATAGCCGGATTTGAGTCCTGGAAATGGGAAGTATAATGCCTGCACTTTAAAGGAGGGGTTTGGGATATTGGCAGTTTGGAGGGATATGTTGTGTATCTTTATACGTATATGCTTCTAAACTGTTGTATTCTGAGCACCTCTGCAAAAACAATGATTATGTGTGAGTGAGGTGATAGTGCTGAATGATGATGAAAGTATTTTCTTTTGGGGAATTTTTTTTTCTTTTTGGGTCACCCTCCTATGGTGGGAGATGGCCGACTTGTTAAAAAGAAAAAAATAATTTATATTCACCATTTTATATTTAGGTTCTGTTAAGCACTACTGAAATAGTAACCTCCGGTAAACGTATTATAGTACACCAATAATAGAATCTATGATTATGTTTCATCCAGATAATCTTATATTTTCTTTTTCTTGTTGACCATTCCATTATTGTGATCATTCAAGGATCACAACTGTGCCACCATCACATCTGTGAGGAAAATGATAGGATGGTTAATGAGAGCGTTCAAAATAAGAGACGCCAAGCAAATGATGATCCTTTTTAAACCACTTGTTCTCTCTAGGCTGGAATATTGCTGTACATTAACATCTCTATTCAAGGCAGGTAAAATTGCAGATATAGAGAATGCACAGAGAACCTTTACTGCTAAGAATGCTTGGAAGCACTTGACTTGTACTCACTGGAGTGCAGGCAAGAGGGATACAGTATGGCCCCACTTATATGGCAGGTTAGGTTCCAGGCTACTGCCGAAAAGTGGACATCGCTGGAAAGCTTAACTCCATTTTTTCCACTTATAAATGCATGTAAATGCCAGATAACAAGTCTACACTAACATATATTAAGCTAAAGTAGAACTAGGCATTACAAAACAACAAAAAGTAAAATACGTACACAGTTCTTTCATTACTTACCCTGAAATATTTGTAATCTTAACCCTTTGAGGGTCGGTCACGTACAAGTACTTCATTGCAGCCAGGGTCGGTCACATACTTGTACACCTAAATTCTAGCGCCTTCAGATCTGGTGGAAGAAAGCTGGCAGGCCTACATATGAAAGAATGGGTGTGTGTGGTCAGTGTGCACAGTATAAAAAAAATCCTGAAGTACACTGTGCATAATGAGGAAAAAAATTTTGACTGTGTTTTTGCTTCAAAATAGTGACTTTCTAGTTAATTTTCATATGGTATTTATGGTTGTATTCTCGTGTCCTTGGTCTCATTTGTATTAGTACACTTTTCACCTCTCTAGACGTAAGTAGTCTATTAGTATTAGATTAAGTTTGCCAGAAAGGCCTCGGTATGATAGTGGCTTTCTTAGCTCCAATCATATTATGATATGTAAACACACATTGTAACCTTGGCAAAGAAATAAATATTTTATTTTATTTATTTATTTAAGGAACCTCCCTTGAGGGGGAAGTTTGTATCGAGAAGTAAAAAATAGACCGAACGACAGTTCGTACCTTGAAAAATTTGCATGATGGGGTGTTCGTAAGCCAAGGTTCCACTGTATATGGATTTATCCAAAGAGAAATTTTAGAGGAATTTGGTAAACCTGGAGATTTTTGTAATTTTGAAGTTTGGATAATTGGAATCTTATTGTAGATTAAATAATACTGAAGAGTAATCCATGTTGAGAGTGTGCTGCAGTGATAAAATTAAGCAGTCACTAGCTGTAAGATTGGATACCACCAATTTTAATAGCTGAAGTAAATGATTTCTAAAATCAAATAGACAGTTGCTATAAATTACCACTGGCTATCTTATAATGGAAGCTCTGGGTTTTTTTATTTTCTTTTTTGCTCTTTTAGGTGCTGTAGTGCTCGAGGGATTGTGTGTAACATTTGACCGTGGTCAGAGTGTAATTGGTTTCTCTGAGTCACGTTGTGGTCCAACCATTACTCTAGGAGAGATCTACAACTTGTCAGGTAGTATATTACTGATTTATAAAATATGATATATATCCCAACAGTAAAAAAATCTGTATTATACAATTAGGTCTATAGCTGACTCATACTTATTAAATTCTTTTTGCTGTTATTAATCATATTTTTAGGCTTGTATCAGGGGCTTCATTGTAAAGGTTTGACTTGACACTATTTAAAAAAGAATGAAAAAATTTAAATGACTTAATTAGGTGAGGTAAACATGCATTCATGTTCTAATAGATATCCCCCTAAAGGGAATAACCAATAGATTAAATGTCTGATAAAATGAACAAAAAATCTGATAGGAAAAAGGCTCATCATATACATTTAATGAAATAAAAGGCAGTATGAAAAAGACATGGAAAACACTCACTGAAATCCTAGGCTCTTGGAAATTTATCAAAACCTGAGATATTGTCCTAACTAAACCTAGTGAGCCTTCTATCCAGCCTGCTGAAACAGCCAGTACATTAAATGATTTCTTCTCTACTACAGGATCTAGTCTAACTAGCAAAATCCCAAGATCCAATGTTCAAGTGAGTGGCTATCTGAGTGGCATAACTAGAGGGAGAGCTAGGGAAGCACCTGCTCTCCCTAAGCACATTTCAAAAATGGTGTCTTATCAACAGTTTTTTAACTCTAGTTCATTTGTGCCAATGACATGTGTTTTATTTATCCTAACTTGTTCACATTGTACCACATTTTTCTGACCTTACCAATAACTAGTGCGCTTGTGGAACGATCCTTTAGTTGGCTTAAACACACAAAGTCCTACCTTCGTTCTACAATGGGCAAGGATTGATCATCTGGGTTAGCTTTACTCTCCATTGAAAAAGAGTTGTCTTCCGAGGTGGATTATAATAAAGTAATAGATAACTTTGCTAGAATGAAGCTTGGATGAAAGAGACTGTTGTAGTTGTTTCATATAGTTTTCATATTACTTCTTTTTGTTGTTATTTTATGTATAAAATTAAAATAATTAAATAGCACAGGTTTTTATTATGTTTTGAGATTTATGAGCTTATTTTAAAACTTTTTTATTGTGTTTTAATTTTAAATAAAAAATGACAACTATAATCATCCTTTGACACTGTATCTTCCTTGTGTTTTGATTTTAAATTCAAAATAAAAATGTATAATGAATTTAAAACTATTCTCTACATGTCATGGCACCTTTTTTTATGTGCTCGCTCCTCCTAACTTTAGAACCTGGTTATGCCACTGGGCTACCATGTTGGAAGTTTCCCAGATTAGCTCTATCTGCAACTTCTACTGGGGTCTTTTGGATCATAAATTCACTGAAAAACAAACAGCTCATGTGTTGTCACCCACCATTGTAAAACAAATCATTGGAAATCAACACTTCCCCAACACAAAGGAGGAGACCTAGCCAATATAAATTACTATAGGCCAGTATCTACCTTGCCATTTTTTTATAAAATCTTCAGAAAATTAATTCATAAGAGAGTATACTCTTTCCTAGTGCTATTCAATATGTCAACCCTTGCCAGTTTAGTTTGAAGCCAAGAAAAAGCTTTCAGTACAGTAGGCCACAACATCCTACATCTTAAACTGGAACATTATAGTATCAGAGGTCATGTTCATGCATACCTAAAGTCCTACCTTAACATCAGGCACCAACACTACCTAACAGAATACAGTGGACCCCCGCATAACGATGGCATGCATAGCGATTTTTCCGCATAACGATTACTTTTATCGCAAAATTTTTGCCCCGCATACCGATTAAAAACCCGCATACCGATTTTCGTCCGAGACGCGTCCAATGTGCCCTCACATGTGCCGGCCGTCCCATTGTTTACCAGCCAGCCTCCGCGGTAACATCCAAGCATACACTCGGAATATTTCGTATTATTACAGTGTTTTCGGTGGTGTTTCTGGAAAATAAGTGACCATGGGCCCCAAGAAAGCTTCTAGTGCCAACCCTGTGGTAAAAAGGGTGAGAATTAGTATGGAAATTAAGAAAGATTTTGAAGGGTTTGGGGCTAACCCTGAGAAGCCTATGCCAGTTGTGGAATCCATTGTGCCTACTTCAAAGATTAAGGAAATGTGTGCAGAGTGGTTTGAACTGCAAACCTTTATAGATGAAAATCACCCTGACACAGCTGTTGCAAGCCGTGCTTGTGACTATTTCAATGACAATGTTATGGCCCATTTTAGGAAAGTCTTGAAGAAACGGGAGGTACAGAGCTCTATGGACAGATTTGTTGTGCGACAGAGGTCCAGTGACTCTGAAGCTGGTCCTAGTGGCATTAAAAGAAGAAGGGAAGTAACCCAGAAAAGGACTTGCTACCTCAAGTCCTAATGGAAGGGGATTCCCCTTCTAAACAGTAAGAAGATAATGCTCTCCCCTCCTCCCATCCCATCAATCATCACCAGATCTTCAATAAAAGTAAGTGTCATGTAATTGTGCATGCCTTTTTCAGTTTGTGTGTATTAAAATTAACATTTCATGTGGTAAAAAAAATTTTTTTTCATACTTTTGGGCGTCTTGCACGGATTAATTTTATTTCCATTATTTCTTATGGGGAAAATTAATTCGCATAACGATTATTTCGCATAACGATGAGCCCTCTTGCACGGATTAAAATCGTTAACCGGGGGTCCACTGTACTCCATTCGACTGAATGTACAGCAGTGCAAGCAACCATATGACCTGTCTTTGTAATACTCATTTGTGCTTTATAGTTAACTGTTTATAATAATGTTTTATCACTGATTTCATCATTGCTTAGTTAATCTTAAGTTAATTTTAAGCCAGCCCGTAATGCTATGCATATAAGTGGCTTTGGCATGCTGCTCTTACCTGTATTTTTTGTACCTCTGTTTGTATGCTTAAATTACTAAATAAATAAATAAATAAATAAATAAAATAAATAAATAAATAAATATGTCTCCACCAAGGGCATAACTTCGTCAAATCAACCTTTTGACATAAGGGTGCCCCAGGGCAATGTTCTCAGCCCTCTGCTTTTCCTTGTATATGTCAGTGATCTTCCAAATGCATCTCAACTACTTAAACTCTTTTTGTTTATGGATGACACAACTTTTCTCATTTCCCATTCAACTCTGAATTCTTTCAGTAACGCTACTAATGAGGATCTCATAAAGATATCTACCTAGATGACTAACCCTTTCAGTGGCCATCATGTAGAACAACATCAATGAGGCCAGAATCCCTTACACAGTTTTATGTCACGATCTCAGCTCACTCAGATAAGCTGTGAGCAGTAAATTTTGGCCTAGATTTGAAATAATGGGTGTGTGTGGTGAGTGTGCACAGTATAAAAAATCCTGCTCCATGCAGTGCATGATAGGAAGAGCAAAACTCTGACTATATGTTTCACTTAAAACAGTGACTTTGAGGTGGTTTCTTGAATGGCTTTTATGGTTTTTATTGGGTATGTCTCCATGGGGAAGTGGAACAGAATTCTTCCTCCATAAGCCATGCATGTCGTAAAAGGCAACTAAAATGCCGGGAGCATGGGACTAGTAACTCCTTCCCCTGTATATATTACTAAATTTAAAAAGAGAAGCTTTCATTTTTCTTTTTGGGCCACCCTGCCTTGGTGGGATACAGCCAGTTTGTTGAAAAAAAAAATGTCTTGGTATCATTCGAAAGAATGGAAGACATACTTCTGAAATAGAGATGATTTTGTTTGGTTTCAGGGGCAGAAGTAGCTTGAAATTGGGCTCAAAATATCAGAATTATTTGATTTTTTTTCAGTTTTCCTGAGGACATGTAAGGCCTTCCCCCCCTCCACACTCTCTAACCTGTTGTAGGGGTTTTAATAGGTCTGATTCAATTATTGTGATGCCTTAAACTATGACCAATCATTCCTGGTTATATTTTATTATCCAAGACATAGAGTAAATCTCTTTTTGTGTTATTATGAATTCAAAATGGAAGGCAAGTGTAACATAGGAGAGGCCTGCAGATGTGATTAATGAACAGAGGAAATGTTGTTTTAGTGCCAGTTGTTTAGTTTGGACTATCTTTAAATTAGTATTTTTTAATTTTATGTAAAATTGGCCAAAGTACCAAATTATCAGCCTTATTGAAGAATTGATTAACCCTTAACCCTTTGGCTGTTTTGGTCATATATGTACGTCTTACGCGCCACTGTTTCGGATGTATTTATACACATAAATTCTAGTGGCTTCAAATCAAGCAGGAGAAAGCTGGTAGGCCCACATGTGAGAGAATGGGTCTGTGTGGTCAGTGTGCACCACATAAAAAAAAATCCTGCAGCACGTAGTGCATAATGAGAAAAACTCTGACTTTTTTTGGATTAAAATGCCGACTTTGAGGTGTATTTTCATATAGTACAGTGGACCCCCGCATAACGATTACCTCCAAATGCGACCAATTATGTAAGTGTATTTATGTAAGTGCGTTTGTACGTGTATGTTTGGGGGTCTGAAATGGATTAATCTACTTCACAATATTCCTTATGGGAACAAATTCGGTCAGTACTGGCACCTGAACATACTTCTGGAGTGAAAAAATATCGTTAACCGGGGGTCCACTGTATTTATTGTTGTACGTATTCTCGTTTTCATGGTCTCACGTGGTAAAATGGAAAACATATTACAGAAATAGAGATGAATTTGATTAGTTTCACGATGAAAACGACCTTGAAATTGAGCTGAAAGTAGTGGAAATGTTAAATTTTTACCAATGTTCAGGAGTAAGCAAATCACACCACACGTCCAATACACATCAATGGGGAGTCTAATATTTTTTCACTAGTGCACTGATATTATTTATACCATTTTTACAATAATGCAGTAGTCTGCATAACAGTAAATTTTGTATTTTTTGTATAAATAAAAAATCAAAATAGAAAGCAATAGTAATATAAGAGGGGCCTAGAGACATAACTAATGAACAGAGGATATGTTATTTTAGTGCCAAGAATGTCTACATTGTTTATTCTGGATCCTATTTTGAAATTGACATCTTTTTTAATTTGCGT